ATATATATATATATATATATATATATATATATATATATATATATATATATATATATATATATATATATATATATATATATATATATATATATATATATATATATATATATATATATATATATATATATATATATATATATATATATATATATATATATATATATATATATATATATATATATATATATATATATATATATATATATATATATATATATATATATATATATATATATATATATATATATATATATATATATATATATATATATATATATATATATATATATATATATATATATATATTAGTTAAAGTCACCCTTTTAATTATTATTTTTTATATTTCCCAAATTATGTTTAACAGAGCTAGGAAATTTTCACAGTATGTAAAATTATTAGCCCCTTTAAGCAATTTTTTTCGATAGTCTACAGAACAAACAATCGTTATACAATAACTTGCCTAATTACCCTAACCTGCCTAGTTAACCTAGTTAAGCCTTTAAATGTCACTTTAAGCTGTATAGAAGTGTCTTGAAAAATATCTAGTCTAATATTATTTACTGTCATCATGACAAAGGTAAAATAAACCAGTTATTAAAAATGAGTTATTAAAACTATTATGTTTAGAAATGTGTTGAAAAAATCTGCTCTCCGTTAAACAGAAATTGGGGAAAAAATAAACTACGGGGCTAATAATTCAGGGGGGCTAATAATTCTGACTTCATCTCTATATTTACAGTTACAACATTAAACTTTATATAATACAAACATAGGAAGAGTTCAATGCAAAAACCTCTTAGTGCCGTCCAAAATTTTCTTCTTAAATGAGAATTTTTTTCAGCATCCCATGTTTGTGTTCTGTTTTTTCACTATTAAAATATTTATTAATATATTTTTGTATTAATAAATTCTTAATAAACTTAGAAATAAACTCCTGAAAGCTTCTTCTTAAGACACACACTCTCTACTACTTTTGTTTGTGTCTGGTTTTTGCATTATTATATTTCCACTCAGCTCTTAAAAGTGCAGGTCTGTCTGGCTGTTCTCTGCATGCTCTGCCAGTTTCTCGCTTTCGGTTTGTGCTGTTCAATTAAATCCAGCCTAATTCTGAACTCCACTGTAAGTAATGGACCTGCTGTGTTAAAATTTAACATTTTTATTTGTTATAAAGTTCACTGACCTTTCTTGTTTTCTTCCTCATGGTGATGCCTGAATGCATAAATGCAGAGTTGATTGGATTAGGTTTTTACTACTATTATTTACTGCAATCCTATAATTTGAAACTCAACTCATTCAAGACCTAAAGATGCAGATGTGGTGCGTCGCAAATAAAGTGCTTGCATGACACTAATCTGGCTTACTTATTAATAACCTAAACCGGCAGGAACTTAACCGTCACTCAGATGATGAGATCCCGCTGAGATCAGTTATTAAACAGGATTATAAATCTCTCAAATTGAAAATTGCTATTTGTTATTAACTTTTTGTTTTCTCGTTGCTTTCCAGATGGAGTCTGACAGTGAAGAGAATCGCA